CGAGCGTGGCAGAGGCTTGGGGTTGCATGCATGGGCTGCATTCATGCATGCATGCATGCATGGGCCGCATGCATGGGCTGCATACATTCATGCATGCCCCTGATTAATTAAAGGAAGATTTAATATTGAACCTTTTGCTTGGGATTTGTTTCTGCTGCTGCATGCGTCTCGACGTGCAGCTGGGCTGTTATAAGCTGTTTAAATCATAACAGTTGCTGCTGTCTCCTTAAAGGGGGGGGAGGGGACTGTATAGGAGCAGCAAAACCAATCCGGCTGCTGCTGCTGCTGTTGCTTCTGGGACTCTGTTGAGATTGGGTTTAGGAGTGGGGGGGGAGGTTAGCGGGGACTCTATTGCTGTGGTTCCTGTATGGGGGGGCCCCTGACGGGCATTCGTGTACTAGAGGGGCCACCCAGCGTTAGAGGGGCTGCAGCTAAACCCTAAACCCTAAACCCTAACCTGACGTAGAGGGGAGGTGGTGTTGACTTTATGCCTCCATCTCCTGAACCTATTGATTTAGCATTACAACATAAAAAGAAGAGTTGTGTGATAATAATAAATGCAGAAAATAAAGTTATTATATACTATCGGGGAGGAAGCTGTGGAGCAGCGAAGGAAAAAAGAAAGAATAGGAAAAGGTGTTTTTGCTGTCTCTGACACCTGGCAGGCGAGGAGACAGAAAAGAAGAATGCTCCTTATTCAGTTTCTCTACGACAGAAGCTGCTACAGCATGATATAACAACGGCAACAATAAACTCCAATAAAGAGACAGCAGAAGAAATAGGGAGAGTAGTAGCGGCCACCACAAGGGTGGCAACGAAAACCCTTTAAAAGGTTTTCTCTTTTCTTCGTTCTCTTCTGTATCTTGTTTACTCATTTTGCCTCGTGCTGCTTGTCTCTATCTCCTTTTGTTTTGTATGTCTGTCTTTCTGCTGCTTCTGCTGCTGCTGCTGTTGCTGCTGCTGCAGTCGCTTCTGCTTGTTGCGCCTCCTGTTCCCTGACTGTATTTGTCTCCCTTCGTTCTTTCTGCTGCTGCTACTGTTGCTGGTGCTGCTGCTGCAGGTGGAGGAGCGGAAGCAGCAGCAGCAGCAGCTTGCATGCGTTTTCTGATGGGGCAGTTTAGAACTCTTTTTCTTTCTTTTGCTTTTCTTCTTTGTCGCTTTTATTCTCTCTTCTTTTTTCTTTTTTGCTGTTGAGGTCTGTAAAATCACCAACACGCCGCTGCAGTTTTTCTTCCTGCACTCACACAATAAAAATGTTCTTCCTCTTCTTTTTCTTGATATCATTGAAACTTTCTTCCTCTTCTTTCTTCTCCTCCTCTTCCTTTCACTTCCTCTTCTTCAGGTACACTTCCTTGCTGCAGGTCCACTTATGGAGCAGGAGCCGCAGAACCTGCTGCTGCTCCTGCTGCATGAGCTGCTGCTGCAGCTGCTGCTGCAGCTTGCCCCCATTGTAACTTATCTTTTAAGGTTCTTACCCGCATACTTTGAAGAGGCATTTAATAGTATAGTTAGACACTGCTAGTCACATCTATATTTGAACATATCTAGAAATATATATATATATATATTACATGTTTTTACTTACATTTATATCTGCATTTGTATATATCTCCTTTTATAAACAAGCATTTACCTGTTCATCTCGAACAGATAAGGTGAGCGCTTTTAAGGTTGTAATGAAAAGAAAAAAAAGAATAGAAAAACGAAAAGAAGAAATCCCTCCTCAGCTACTTTTCCTCCTTTTCTTCTAGTTGCTTTTTGGGGAATATTCTTATTAAACGGGTTGTGAGAATATAAACGTTAATGAACTGTACTACTGTTATGCTATTATTCGTATTATTACTATTAATGTATTACTGTTGTTACTACTATTATTACCAGTATAATTGTTACTAACACATTATTGCTATTATTGCTATCATTATTATTATTATTTATGTATTGTTATTATTATTGTGGTCTCGATGAGAATTATTTTTGTTATTTCAATTGTCTCTGATTGACGTTGTCGATTGGGGTGTACATACAGGTTCACGCCAGCAATTATATTATGCTGCATGCAGTAAACGCCACTGAAGCAAACCAAAGAAAAAGAGGAAAGGGGGCCTCTCTTCTTCTCCCCTGAGTTGTAACACCCTAAACCCTAAACCCTTAAGAGAAAAAGAAGGCGAGGGGAGTATCTGTTCACTAATTGCTCCTCAATGGAAGGCTAGACTACTGCAAAGAAAACTTCAAATATCACTGACGCCGAAGTAGAAGGGAACAGACGATAGCTGAGGCATGCAGCGATCGGGATGGACGTACGCTCGCTGGGTGTATGTGCACTCATTGGAGTGTGGGGTGTATATGTACTCATTAGGGTGTATGTGTACTCACTGGGATGTATCTGTAGTCATTGGGGTGTATGTATGTGAACTCGTAATCATTGGGGTGTATGTGCACGCATTGGAGTGTATGTGTGCTCGTACTCACTAGGGTGCATGTGCACTCAATGGGGTGTATGTGTGCGCGTACTCGTTTGGGCGTAATTGTAGTCATTAGGGTGTATGTGTACACACTGGGGTGTATGTGTACTGAGGCTGCATGTGTACTCATTGGGGTGTATGTACACTCATCGTGGTGTATGTGCAGCCATGGGGGTGCATCTGTACTCACTAGAATGTATGTGTACTCACTGGGTTGTACATACACCCCAATGAATGTACGTACAGCACAATGCTTATGGCGCACAAGCAACATCTAAGCGACGAGGTGTCTATACACCCTAAATACCGCTGAATATGAGAGGGTTCTTCTATTAATAGAACGAAGACAGAAGGGAAGCCTCATTGTAATATCTTGAATATCATACATGACAATTCGTGAGTTGTTGCATGCAAAATGGTCTCTAATTACGTTCCTTCTGCTTAAATAATATTTTTATTTTGTTAAAAATACTGAAAAATGATATTTATTATGGTGCATAATCTACTTTGACGAAATGCAGAAGAACTTCCTCTCGGTTTCCCGCTGCATGCGCTGCGGCGCTGGCGAGGAGAGGAAGCAGAGAGAAAAGAAATAGTGTAGAAGTTGTTTTGATTTTAATTGCTTTTCACATTTAATTCATAAATATAACTATTTGTCCTTTTCTTTCTCCTATTAGCTCGCAAAAACCTCAGCGGCTGCCGCCCGCCCACTCATCAGCAGCAAATTTTTTGTGCGTTGTTTGCTGTAAAATAATATTAGCAAACGCCATTCTTCTTTATTAACTCATCTTAGTTATTTTCACCGGCACTTGTATGCTATCAAGGGGTTTATCGTAGGGTGTTTCCTTTTGCGCGGTGGTTTTCTCCCCGTGTGCCCTCATCTTTCTTGTTCTTCTTCTATTCTGCTGCTCCTGCTGCTGCTATTGCTGCTATTGCTGCAGCTACCTCCCTCAATCAGCAGTTGCTGTTCAGCTGCATGCGGGGGTGCCTACAGCGCATGCATGCAAAGGGCTTCCTTTTTCGCCTCCTCCTCGTGTAAACTGAATAAACTCTTTGTCAACATCTTCTTGCCTCTCTTGTCTTCTTCTTTGTTCGTTACTTCCTTGTCTTCCTCTTTGTCGCCTCAAGCGAACCAAGAGGCACCAAATAGAAAAGAAATAAGGGGAAAAGAAGCAAAATAACTTCTGCTCCTCTACGACACACCATGCCAAGCTCAGGACAAAATGAAGGCGGCGAACATCACCAGAGGCTGAGAGGTCTGCTTGCACGCATGGGGTGTATATATAGGCATTTATGGGGTGTATATATACGTATATATATATATATGCAGGGGGTGTATGTATATTCATACGTGGGTTGTATGTATATTCATACATGGGGTGTATATATATGCATGCATGGGGTGTATATATAATCATGCATGGGGTGTATATATATGCATGCATGGGATGTATATATATGCATGCACGCGGTGTATATATATATATATATATATATATGCATGCATGAATTTGTCGTTTTGGATGTTAGTTCTTCAACATCCAGCCAGTCTTAGGGGGCTGACTAGTTGTTCTTTTTTCCTTTTTTCTGTTTTTGTTGTTTTTTTCTCTGTCTCTCCCTCTTTCTCTCTCCCTCTCTCTCTCTCTATATATATGTATATATATATTTTCTCTGTATCTCCTCTGATCTCACTATCTTAGTGTCTGCCTTCCTCGCTGTCTCTATGTCTATTTTCATGCTAATCAATCCGTGTGTCTCTTTCTGTCTCTTTCTGTCTCTTTGATTGTTTTTCTGTCTTTTTATCTCTCCGTTTGCTTGCCCTATCTCTCCTTCTCTGTTTTCTTACTCTCTTCGTTTTTACTTTTTCTTGTTTTTTCTTGTTGTGTCTTCCATAGAAACGCGTCTTCAAAAGCGCAAAGCAGCGGAGGTGCTGCCTTCCTCTGGGGATTCGTCAGCAGCAGCAGCAGCAACAACAGCAGCAACATCAGCAGCAGCAGCAGCAGCAGCAGCAGCAACTGAGGGGACAGGGAAGAGAGGTCGTCGTGGTGGTGGAGGGGCCCCTAAGAGCCCTGGTGGCGGCAGCAGCGGCAGCAGCGGCAGCGGCAGCAGCAGTGGCAGCAGCAGCAGCAGTAGCAGCGGCAGCAGCGGCACCAGCAGCAGCAGCAGCAGCTGCAGCGGGGGGTCCCCTTGTGCATTAGAGTCTGCTGCTAATGGCTGCAGCAGCAACCACTTCTCAGGTCGTGCGCCGCACCCTCCTCTGCAACAAAAAGGAATTAATGCGGAGAGTAAAGAAGATATCATCCGCTCCGAGATACCCAAATCTGTTGTCAAGGTCTGTAGACACAACACACGCTGCTAAGAGCTATATACATATATATACATTTATATATATAATATATATATATATATTTACATTTACATGCATATATATATATATACATATATACACGTGTTTATATATATATAATATACGTACATATATAGGTATATCCGTATGTATAGGTATACATTTTTGTGCACTTGCTTCCGTTCATATTTATATACGTTTTATATATAGATATGCATTTATTTATTTATCATCTTCTATATATATATATCTGTATATCTATGTACATGGACGTTTTTACCGCACTGGGAATTCGACGAAAGCCAACTTTGGATGCCGTCCTTTAGTTCTTTTTTCCTACATATAAAAATATATTTGAAATTCTTCATTCTTTCCCGTCGTTACTATATATACATATATATATCTTTATGTATATGTGTACATATTTATATTCATTTATTTATTTACTCGTCGAGGCATTTGTTTGCGCCGTTCGTGAGCCCAACTCCAGACAGCGGTGGACTCCAGTTGCATTCTTTTCTTGTTTCTTGCATATGTTTATGATTCTTTTTTGTCTGTCCTTTTACCTATAATATACGCGCATAGACGTATATATATATATATATATTTTTATATTTATATTTTATTTATTTTTAGGTGTTTTGCACTCACTGCGAACCCAACTACAGCCAGCCCTGGACAACGCGACGGCAGACGACATCGACGAGCACCGGCTTTGTTACCTTCGATGCTGAAGGCAACCACTGCATTCTAACGAATGCGCATTCAGTAGATAATGCAGCAGTTGTACAGGTATATGATTGAAACGCTGTTTGTTTATTGTATTTCTTTGTCTTTTTATGCCTATCTACGCGCATGTTTGATGCTGAAGGCAACCACTGCATTCTAACGAATGCGCATTCAGTAGATAATGCAGCAGTTGTATCTTTAGTTTTTAATTATGATAGATTCTGCGTGAGGGAAGTGATATAATAGTAATGTCTTCCTTTTCAAATCATATTAGTATGCGTTTAGAGAATATTGACTTTCTTTGTAAACCATACTATGTGCATGTAAAAGATAAAGTAATAATGTCTTTCTTTTCAAATTATATTAATATATGCATAAAGAAAGAAAGCGTTAGAAGAATGATGGCTTTCTTTTGTTTAGGTTAGACGAAGGGGAGATCATCAAAAACACGAAGCAAAAGTAATTTGTGTAGGCTTGGATTGCGATTTGGCTTTGCTGCAAGTAGACGACCCAGACTTCTGGGATGGTGAGTCTTCTTTATATTCTTTTATTCTATGTTATTTATTTTGCCTTTTGTCTGTTTGTGTTGTTTTTTTGTCGGTGTGCTTGCTTGTTTTGTTGTTCGCTTGTTTGTATTGTTGTGTGCTTGTTTTGTTGTTTGTTTGTTTGTTTTGTTTTTTGTTTGTTTGTTTGTGTTTTGATGTTTGTTTTCAAGCTAGGTAGGTAGGTAGCTGGCTAGGTAGCTAGCTAGCTAGGTAGCTAGCAAGCTAGGTAGCTATTTGTTTTTTTGGGCTGTCAAAGAAAGAGTGCCGTTTGACACCAAAGAGAACAAAGAGAGGAATAAAAAGGAGAGGAAAGAGGGAAGGAAAACAACAAGAGGGAGAAAGAATAACACGTTTTCATGTTTTGTTTGTCTTCATTGCGTTCAGAAATAGGGCCCCCTCTACAGTGGGGCCCCTCCCCGTCTCTAGAAGACCCTGTCACCGTCGCAGGTTATCCTTTAGGTGGCGACAACTCCTCTGTCACACAGGTATTGTAAACGCTAAACCCTAAAACCCTAATCTGTACCCTATTGCCTCCATAGAGAGCGCTCAACCCTGAGCCCTAAAGATAGACCCCTAAAAATAGACAACATTCAATCCTGCATACGAAAACCTATGTCTTAGATAAAGAACCATTAACTCTAAACACTAAATCAATAGCCCTAAACCCTAAATCGAGGACCCTAAACCCTATATAGGGTGCCCTATCCTTTACATAGAGAGCCTTTTAACCCTATCTAGAAAGCCCCAAACCTTACATAGAAACTCCTAAACCCTAAATCGAGAGCTTTAAACTTTAAACCGTAAATGGTGGCTCCTATACCCTAAACCCTAATGCATAGATGATACCCTAAACACGTAGTACAGAACCCTAATCCTTTAAACCCTAAACCCTGGGTAGCAATGGAGGTAAGCATGTAAGGAGTTTTTCTTGCATGCATTGGAAGGGGCATGGAACAGATTGAACAGCAAAAGACCCTTCGCTTTTTTACTGGCTACAAAATACACTTATAACTCACACTGCTGCTGCTGCTGCTAATTCGTGCTGTTTCTGCACCTTCTTGTTGCTGCTACGGGTGCAAATTGCCGCCGCTGCTGCTGTTGCTGCAACTACTACTGTTGCTTCTGCTGCTGCTGCTTCAGGGTGTAGTATCACGAACAGACCTGCAGCAGTATTCGATGGGTTCTTGCTGGCTCTTAGCCATACAAATAGACGCAGCAATAAACCCAGGGAACAGCGGAGGCCCTGCATTAAACAAAGACAAGAAATGTGTTGGCATTGCCTTTCAAAGTTTGAAGGATGGAGACACCGAAAATATCGGTTATATCATTCCCTCAGAGGTAAACGCAAACCCCTTCCTGTTGCTGCTGCTGTTGCTGATGCTGCTGTTGCTGCTGCTGATAATCTTTATGGTAATCCTAATCTTTGCACTCCTGCAAGGGGTGCTGCTTTTGATATTGCTGATGCTGCTGCTAATGCTGCTGCCTATGCTGCTAATACTGCTGCTGCTGCTGTTGGTTTATTTGCTGTGGCTTGTGCTTCTTTGTTTGCGTGATGTTTAATTATCAGGTGGTTTTATATTTATCTATTTTTTACTTTCTGTTTGGTTTGTACTTGATTGCTGATGATTTGCGTTCTCTTTGTTTATTTTTTGTTTTCTATTTGTTTATTGTTTATTTTCTACTCACTTATTATTATGTGTCTACTATTACCTGTTCTTTGTTTATTATTTGATTATTATTAGTTGCTTTTTGTAATTTGTTTCTTACTGATTGTTAATAAGTGGCTTATACAATTATTTCTTAATTAGTGGTCTATGACTACCTTTATTATTGCTTGCTTTTTACTACTTTACTGTATCTAATGTTTTATAACTCCCTTATAATGATTTGTTTATAATACTACTTATTGCTTATAATTGCTTTATTATTACTTGCCAATGTATTAAAACGATTGTTAGTAACAACAATCCTTGTTAATAATAGTATTTGTAGTGTATGCATTCTAATGAATTCTCCTAATTCTTCTTCGTAACAATAATACTAATAATAATATTAGTAAAGATAATAAAACTAAGCATATTGTTTTAATTGATTATAATGTATTGACGCAGGTGGTGGCGCATTTCTTAGAAGACTACAAACGACATAAGAAATATACGGGGTTTGGTGATTGCGGGTTTACCTGGCAGCGTCTTGAAAATAAATTTATGCGAAGTGCTCTTCAACTTAAAAACAAACAACAAGGAGTACTCGTCAAAAAGGTGATACGCTTTGCTTCTTCGGCTGCTGATGCTCTTGTTGTTACCGTTCCTGCTGATGCTCCACCTCCTGCTGCTGATGCTCCTGCTGCTGCTGTTCCTGCTGATGCTGGTGATGGTGTCGCTGTCGCTGCTGCCGTTGCTGCTGCTGCTGTTGCTGCTGCTGAGGATAATGGCGATGGTGGTGGTGATGGTGATGGCGCTGCTGCTGCTGCTGCTCCTGTTGCTTTCTGCTGCTGTTGCTGCTGCTGTTGCTGCTGCAGCAACAGCAGCAGCAACAGCAACAGCAGCAGAAACAGCTGCAGCAACGGCAGCAGCAGGGTGCCGACGACGAGCAGCATCACCAGGACAAGCATCGAGTATGAGCAGCATCAGCGTCTATCAGGAACAGAAACAAGAAGAGTGTTTCCTTGTTTATTCCGTTTGCTTTGTTTTAGGTGGATGGGGCTTCGTTTGCTCGCGATGTATTGCAAAGAGGAGATATCATTTTATCTGTTAATGGCAAAAAAGTAGCATCAGACGGGAGCGTAGAGTTTGAAAGAGGTGAAAGAATTTCTTTTTCGTGGATTTTCGCTCAACTCTTCGTCGGCGATCGGTGCCATCTTGTCGTCTTAAGAAGAGGAAGACAAATTCATGTTTCTTATCAAGTTGAACGCATTAGCGTGAGTAAAATAAACTATGAATAGCATAAATAGAAACATGAATGATTATTTAATTATATTAGAGAGAAAAGAAAGGAGGAGAAAACAAAGAGTTACATAGAATGCACGAATAGGATAAAAACAAATTCATGTTTCTTATCAAGTTGAACGCATTAGCGTGAGGAAAACAAGCAAATTATAAGCGAAATGGGCAGCAAAACAAAATATTATTTAATTATATTGGAGCGAGAAGAAAGAAAGAGAGAAAAGAATGCGAAATAATACGTAGAGAGGAGGAATGCAAATTCAATTTGCAAGCAAAACAAACATTTACAGACTTTGTTGAACGAATATCCTGCAGCAATTTTCGTCTTTTTTTGTTTTGTTTATTTTTTTTAATGAATTCAATTTATGCTGTTTGTTTATCTTGGATTGTTTGTGTACTTGTTGATTTTGTTGAATTGAATTTGTTTTGTTGGTTTCGCTTGTTTGTTTTCTTTCGTTCGGTTTGTCTGTTTTATGTGATTCGTTTGTTTTGCTTGGTTCATTTATTTATCATTGAATTTAGTTTGTTAGATTTGTTCATTTGATTTATTTGAGTCCATCGATTTATTTGATTTATTTGTTTTATTTGGTATATTTGTTTTATTTAATTTGTCTGATTTGTTTGATTTGTTTGTTTCATTTGTTCTCTGCAGCTGTTGGTGCCTGCAACAAACGAATTGCGCCGTGCAGAATATTTAATAGTCGGTGGTCTCGTCTTCGTTCCCCTCAGCGAACCCTTTTTAAAATCTGAATATGGTGATGACTTTGAAAGTAGAGCACCGGTGCGCATCCATCTCCTGCTGCTGCTGCTGCTGCTGCTGCTGTTGTTGCATGCATCTATCTCTTGTTGTTGCTGCTGCTGCTGCATTCATCCATCTGCTGCTGCTGGTTCTGCATGGATCCATCAGCTGCTACTGGTGCTGCTGCTGCTGCTGCTGCTGCAGGTGCGTTTGCTGGACCAGTGGCAGCACGGGATGCAGCAGTTTCCGGGGCAGCAGTGCGTCGTTTTAACCCACGTCTTGGCGCACGAGATAACAGGTGAGGGTTTTTTGTTTGCTTTTTTTGTTTGTTTTGTTTGTTTTGTTTTTTTCTTGTTTCTTGCTTTTTGTTTTTTGTTTGATTTTCAGTCTTTGCTATGCTGTATTAGGCAGTTTATGACAACAGGTCCCATCCACAAATAATTTACTATTTAAACGCCCGTCAATGGCTGCTGCTCCTGCTGCTGCTGCTGCTGCTGCTTCTGCTCCTGCTACTGTTGCTGCTGGTGTTGCTGCTGCAACTTCTGCTGGTGCTGCTGCTGGTGCTGCTGCCCTTAGTGCTGGTGCTGTTAGTACTGCTGTTGCTGTTGGTGCTGCGCTGTTAGTGGTTCTGCTGTTTCTGCCGCTGCTGTTAGTGCTGCTGCAACATCCTATTGTTTGTGTAGGGGATTATTGTTTCTTTGTTTGTGCTTTCTCCCTTTGACTTGGACTTATTTTAGTGAATGCATTGTTTTGGGGTGTACGCGCAGTTGGATTTGAACATCTGCACAATTTGCAAGTCCTCGCGTTTAATGGAAATAAAATTAAAACTCTACGCCATTTAAAACAACTCGTTGAGGCCTCTACAGACGAATACTGGAGGCAAGCCAGACATATATATATATATATATATATATATATATATATTATAGTTAATTATATTTATATATGTGTATATATATGTATATAATATGCATGCCCGCGTTTTTTATATGTTTCTCGCTACATATGTTCTGTGTGTTTTCTGTGAATAGACAGCTATAAGCATATGATAATATATATGTCGACATGCATATATATATATATATATATATTGTGCATAGGCACAGGTGTATACAAAAACGCATCTGTAAAAAATAATATGTTATATATATATATATATACATGTCTACATATAGATATAGGTGTATATATATATATATATATATAAAGGCAGACAGCCATTCAAGCAAACACCGAGAGAACTACCCGACGAAGTGGAGAGCCCCAATACTTAACAAAATAAAAACCAAAGACAGAGCAAACGAGAAAAAAATTTATTTTTTATGTCTTTTGCTGCTGCAGATTTGACTTGGACCATGAAGAAGTCGTCATATTAAATGCAGCAGCAGCGCGCGCTGCCCTGAAATTAATTTTAAATAGAAATCTTATTCCTTCTCATATCTCTGAGGGGCTCTAAACATACAATTCAAATCATAACCCTATTGCTACAGGGGCTCCCATTCAGGGGGCCCCAGTAGGGGGTCCCCTACACAAGGGGCCCCCATTAGGGGGCCCCCTACCTAAAGGGGCCCCCCATTAGGGGGCCCCGCACCCAAATGGGGCCCCCATTAAGGGGCTCCCTAGTCAAGGGGGCCCCTTAATGGCCACCTCGGGGGAACCCCCTTCCTCCCCCGATTGGGGGCCCCTTCTACTTTCAGGCAAAGGTAGGGGGGGGGCTTCTACATGCAAGCAAAAGGGATGGGGGCCCTTAATCCATGCTTGCATTCAACGGCCCCCCCGGCCCGCAGGTAAACGGTGGCCCCCTACACCCAGGCATAGGGGGACCCCCAACGGGGGCCCCCTGAGGGTGCAGCAAACTGATGATACCATATTTAAGGCGAGCCCCTGTTGCAAGAGCAAACAGGCAGGGGCCCCTGCGTTTGGATGTCTTTAGGAGCCCTCATATTCCTTGTGTTAGAACGATGCAGAAACTGCGTGATGCTTAAAACCTAAACCCTAAACCCTAAAGAAAAAGACTCAACTGGGGTGGTAGATGAGATGGGCTGCGGGGGATTTTGAGTTTGCTGCAGGGCTGGCTGTCTAGGGTCTCTTTTAGGGCTTGTAGTGCTGTTTATGGCTCAAGGTTTAGGGTTTAGGGTTTAGGGTTTGCTGAGAGGGTGTACTGACGGGGACATGGGGCGAGTGAGGCTGTTCTCCTTGCGGCGTTGGTGTTGGTTTAATTAAATTAATTTGCACACCGACGCAGAGACCCCCTTAATATTACTACTAAAAAATAATAAATTATTAATATTAACAATACTAATAACTTATTATATCGCATGCAGCGCATGCAATCCGTCGCAGCAAACCCTAAAAGTGATAGTCCTCCATTTGCAGCTAGGGGGCCCCTACTTCTGCTGTAGCAGTTGCTGCTGCTGCTACTGCAACAGCTGCTGCTGCTGCTACTACTGCCACAGCTACTGCTACTACTACTGCAGCTGCTGCTGTTGCTGCTGCTGGTGGTTCGTGTGTACCATTACTGTAATACCCCTAGCGCGCTGTCATATGCTATATTATAATTCTTTTTATATAAATAATACAATTAAAATATTGTATACTTTTTATTGTAATCCTCAACTCCAACAAAAGTTTGTTGCGTGTACATACGTACACCCCAAGGTGCTTGCTGTTCTTAATTTAATTTTGTTTTGTTGTTGTTGCCTCACTTGCTACCGTTAGAAAGAGTAAAATACAGAATAATAAAATTGCATGCAGCATCGCTGGGGCTTCTGCTATGCACGACAAAATACTTCGTTTGATTGCCCGTGTGTGCGTACACCCCAACTATAAACAAACAAACAAGCAAACGAAAGAAGCAATTGTTTGCTGCTGCTGCTATACAAAGAGATGCAGCAAACGGCACGCCAAGCACAAGAAATAAAACCGAAAGCGAGACAGCGAGAGACAAGGAGAGAGATTGAGAGAGAGCCAGAGAGAGAGAGAGAGGCAAAGAAAGAGACGAAGATAGAGACAGAGAGAGACAAAGAGAGAAAGACAGAGAGAGAGAGACAGAGACAGGGACAGAGATAGCGTGGCAAACAGAAAGAGAGAGAGTGCGAAAGAGACAGAGAGAGAGAGAGAGAAAGACAGAAAGTGACACACAGAGACAGACAAAGAGATTGGAAGAGAGGCAGAGACATATCTAGACAGAGAAAGAGAGCACCCTTCCCTCCTTTCTTTACTGCATTGCTCCCTTTGGAGCTGTGCATACACCCCTGATGTTCACAGCTTGTAGCCGCTTTCTCTAACAGGCCGCAGCAGAGCTGCATATACACCTCAAAACATCTTTTTGGTCTTTTACCTTTAATGCTGTTCCTGCTGTGCAGCTGTACCTGCATATACACCTCAACGGAATTGCAGTGTATGTGTAGCAGCTCCTCTGTTTATTAAAAGCGGCGGCATCCACAAGCAGACTTCTTAGGTGTATATGCAGGTTAGCAGAGTGCGCAGCTACTAATAGCAGACGCTCGTTGCTACTAAAAATGTAAGACGGAACGACCAAAGGACAGTATTCATAAGCAGATAAATCACTACAAACAACAAGTTCCAATCAATTCAAGAGCAGAACTGCTGCTGCTGCTGCTGCTGCCGCCGCCGCCGCTGCTGCTGCTGCTGCTGCCGCC